GACACATCTGCCAGGTCTGGTTCCGCCTCCGTCCAGCTTCTGTTTGTCAAACCGCCGCTGAGCGTCTGCCTTCTGCTCCTCAGGCTGTGGTGAACGAGTGGGACAACCAGGAGAGGAGGAAGCGAGAGCAGGAGCAGATGGAGGCGTCTCTGTACCGCAGCCGCAGCCGTCTGCACGGGTCGGGCCTGACGGAGGACGAGCAGGAGGAGAAGGACTTCAGGCGCCAGTTTCCTCAGTTCAACAAGGTAGAAGCATTAATAGTAGCTTTATTCATGATATAGCAAATGTTTTTTTTCTGAGCTCTTCTCAGTTTTCTTGCGGTGTTAACAGAGAAAAGATCCAAACAGTTTGGATAAATCAAGGACAGAACACAGAATCCGATTTAGTGTCCGATCCCACAGACCAACTATTTGCTTTCATCACCATAATTGACTCATTGAATGAATGAATCGTCTCGATCCAAAATCCTTTCACTGATTAGAAGCTGATTAACTTCAGGTTGCTATTACCATGGTAACCAGATGGATCTCCATCCTCATGCTGCGATGTTTATCTCTGGTTCTGATTCAGGACTTTGCAGATATATTGACCCAGCCCAGTCTGGAAGGCCCGGGCGACTCGGAGCCGGAGGCGGAGGAGGACGGGGCCGATCCGGGGGCCGCCGAGCCGGGCTCCTTGTCTGCACACGCCATGAACGCGGTGGTCCAGGTGCATCAGAGCATGTGTCTGGGTTACGCCCGCTCGCTTTGGTACCGGAGCGCACCGCCGGCCAATCACAGCAAAGAACACATCAAGGCCCTGATCTCCTCCCATCAGATCGCCTCTCCTCTGATGTCCCACTGCTACCAGCTGATGGGTAACAGACGTCTGGATGTGAAGCCATGAAGCCTGTTTCTCTCAGATTCATCAGCTTGTTTCTCCCGTTTAGACTCAGAGCTGGATCTCCAGCTGACGGGCTGCGGCCTGTTGCTCTCCACTCTCCTCCAGAACACGGTGAGGGGCTCTGGCGGTTCTGAGCTGGCCGCCTCCCCAGAGGGACCGTATGACTTCTATCAGCAGCCTAATGTGGGCGAAGCCGGCCTCTGCCTGCCGGTTCTGGAGCAGCTGAGTGAGGCGGTGAGACGGCGGCTGGAGGAGTGGCCCGAGCACCCCGCTCTGCTCCAGGTCAGTGCTCCTCTCAGCTCGGGGATCTGTTCTCCCTCTGCTCCTTTAAACCAGCCCTCATGTGTTTGCAGCTGGTGGTGGTGATGGAGAGGATCACGTCCTTCAGCCTGGCCTGCCCGCTGGCCAAGTTCCTGAACGGGCTGGAGATCCTGCTCGCCAAAGCCCAGGTCTGTCATTTCTCTGAACGCCCCTCCCCCCACGCAGCCGGTTCCTGACTCTGCTCACTGTCATCCATTCAGGACTGGGAGAACAACGCCAGCCGCGCGGCGTCTCTGCGGAAGGAACTGGAACCAGTCATCCAGCTCATCATCCAGTGGCGTAAACTGGAGCTGAAGTACGAGTAAAGCAGGTCGGCTGCTTCCTGCTCCTGAGCTGCTCTAACCTTCTCTCTGCTGGGTTTCAGGTGCTGGTCCAGCAGCCTGGACAACGCGCTGAAGAGACACACGGAGAAATCCACCAAGCACTGGTTCTCCCTCTACCAGCTGGTGGAGCGATACCTGGAGGAGCAGAGGACCCAGGCGCCCTCAGGTAGACCAGCTCTGCCTCCTCACACAGCGTCCTCGCTTCAAAGCAGACTGTGACATGCTCTTCTCTGTCCTCCGCAGGAGAGCAGGCAGAGAGCCTCTCCCTGTCCTCCATCTCCTCCACCCTGGAAGCCTTCATGGAGAGCTCCACCCTGGGCGACTTCCACACCCGTCTGAGGATGCTGCTCAGCTTCCACTGCCACCTCCTGCTGGTCCCAGACCTGCCAGGACAAGGTCAGCCATCACCCCCCACCCACCCTGAGCTCTGAACGCCTCATTAACTAACCGCCTGCTCTGCTCCGCCTTCCAGGCTCTCTGTCCAGGCTCCTGTGGAACCTGCACAGATACTACAGCCAGTTCTCCGAGTCCGTCCAGGGAAAGATGCTTCAGCTCCGGCAGCCGATAGAGAAGGAGCTCAAAGTAGGACGCAGTCCTCCCTCTGCTGCTGCTTCTTAGACCCTGAACTCCCACTCATCAGCTCCACCTTTGTTCTCAGGACTTTGTCAAGATTTCCAAGTGGAACGATGTCAGCTACTGGTCCATCAAGCAGTCGGTGGAGAAGACCCAGCGGTACGTTAAATTTTAGCCCCCTTTAGGACCGACTGTAGGCGCCTCAGCTGAACAACGCTTCCCGCTCCCTTTCAGCACCCTCTTCAAGTTTGTGAAGAAGTTTGAGGAGGCTCTGAGTAAACCCAGTCTGGCTGCACTGGTGGAAGTAGGCAGCGTGGAAGAAGAGGGCGTGGCCACTGGCCCAGAGGAGGGCGCCGTCCATCGGGTCCATCGCGCGCTGAAGGCGGCCGTGCCCGGCCAGGGCAGAGAGCTGCAGGTACGAGTCCCAGACTGCCAGACAGCCTGCGGTTTAAGATGGACGCAGCTCTGACTGTCTGTGTTCTGTAGAACCAGGAGCTGGAGGACGGAGCTGGATCCCTGCAGAGCCGGCTGCCCGTTTTGTTCCGCAAAATGAAGAAGATGTGCATCCAGCTGCTGAAGAAGGACTCCGTACCTGAACTGGCTGAAGATCTGGACCAGTTTACCTGTAAGACTCCTGCTGCTGGAGAAATTCAGCATCAGCTTTAACTGCTTGATGCAACTTTAAGGAGATTTCTACCTGATCTTCAGGCTGCGTTTGGAGTTTGATGGTGTTCAGGGGAGGGATTAAATATTAGGCAATACTAGGTAGCTGCCTAGGGCCCCAACCTCCTGAAGGGTCCATAAAACTTTGTTTATGTGTAGGGTTAATACAACCATTCCATATTTGTGCACATTAATTATGTTTTTAATAAAAATCATTTCTCTAAAATGCCATCAGAACGCTGATAATATTAAGTGTGTCTCAGCCCCCCCTTCAGTGTCCACCATATTGGATCAGTCCATTTGCTGCACATGTTCAGAAAGGTCCAAACAGACAGCAGCAAACCATTTGAAAACAAACCATGCAAAGAGCAGTGTTGCTAACTTAGCGCTTTAGTCGCTATATTTAGCCACTTTTCAGACCCCTCTAGAACTTTGATTTCTAAAAAGCTCCTAGCGCCAAATCTAGAGACTTTTTTCTGCTACTGGAGACTTTGGAGACAACATCTAAAAGCAGCGAACTCTGCTCTCCAGAGCAAGTAGATTGGTAACCCCGCCTCCTGCTCTCCTCTATCTTGTCTGCTGTCATGATTCATGCAGCTATTATTTCATCCAAATGAAAAATGGAGAACAGAGAAGCAGATCATGGCTTGTCTACAGTGAAAAGAAGGACTGGGTTATTTACTTTGGCCTTTTTGGAAACACAGGAAGGAGCAATCAGCTAAGTGAGCTTAGTGCTTGGAAAAAATCTTTCATTCCTTTAGAGACAGCATGAAAAGTCAGCTGAGTACAAAACATAGAGAGGAAAACAAGAAGAAAAGGGACAAGAAGAGAGGGACACAACCTAGAACAGATAATGGATGTCTATTCTATTAACATTTCTCTATCTGTAGAATGGGTCTGTTTTATGTGTTGTCTTCTCAGTTCAGAGGGCCCCCTGCCTGTCTTTGCCCAGGGCCCCATATTTCCTAAATCCACCCCTGATGGTGTTTATGGCGTTATCTCTCTTCTACATATCCTATATTTGATAGTTTCCTCTCTTTGCCTCCTACTTTATTTAATTTCAGTCGTCTTTGTTCACTTCATTATTTAAATGTTTATTTTACTGCTGTTGTAAGTTCTCTTTTATAACCATGGTGTTTTATTGGCATCTATCAGCTACAAAAATGATCTAAATGAGTCAACATTTCTTAGAGGAGGAGTTTAATCCACTAATTTCAGCAGATCAGTTAAAGTGTTTCTGCCATTAGAATGAGATAATACAGTTACTGCAGTTATGATCCTATTCTAGTTTTAAATGATCTTTCCTGCTTAAATCAAGGGAAAATGCTTTATTTTCCAACATGAATTCATGCAAATTTTAAATTTTGCCGGTCTGATGAGAACTGCTGCTTGGTTTTACGTTTTAATGATCAGTTTTCTGCCAGAAACCTTCAGAAAGCAGAGTGAAAATGATTTAAGAAATCTGCACCTTTTTTCTTCCTGAGATCATTTGGACTTTGTTCTAATTGATTGGCTGGTTTTCCTTCCCAGGTGAGATCATCAGCAACCTGCGCGAGCTGCAGAGCCTCAGCGTGGACGCGGCGGCGGCGAAGGAGAAGCAGAAGACTGAGGTCAAACACATCTTGCAGCAGAAGCAGAGAGCGCTGTCTGACCTTTTCAAGATGCTCTCTGAATTAGGTTGGTTTCCTCCTCCCAGACGTCAGCCTGGATCAGTCATGGCAGGTCTGTGTTTTCAGCTGCTTCTTTTCCCGGGCAGGTCTGTCGTACCGGAAAGGCGTGACATGGAGCAGAACGGCAGACCCAGAAACCACCCTCTGCATGCAGCCGCTGGAGATGACCACGGCGCTCTCTGCTGTGATGGACCCGGGGGAGACCGAGCGCACGTAAGCAGAGTTTATTCCCAACCGTACGCGTCTTCTGCTCCACCACGCTGATTTATCTCATCACCGGACGTCCAGGTTGTTGGCGGAGCTAATGGCAGCATGGGAAGGATGTCAGAAGTACTTCTACCGTTCGTGGGCCAGGAGGACGGCGCTGCAGACCGCTCTGCAGCACGCCACCAAGGTGAGCCCCCCTACAGAAGGCAGGGCCTCAGAGGCCCAGCTGGGAACTCATGCCTCTCTCTGCTTCCTTCGTCTCCATGGTTACAGGAGCTGGGGGTTGGGAACATAGAGCGCTGCAGAGGCTTTTCCTCGCACCTGTTCAAGGTGCTTCTCAGACAGAGGCACCGGCTGGCCCAGCTGACCGAACACTGGCTCTGCCTCAGGTAAGTTTGACCTTTGACCTGGTTAGAGCAGCAGCAGCTGTTCATTTCTCTTTAGTGAGAGAAAGGAATCTTTAACTATTGTTCTGAGGAGAAACCACATAAGTGACAAAAAAAATATTTTACACATTACATTGTTTAAAGCTTTTATTTGATTTAAACCTAAAATAGAAAGGAAGTATTGATTCTGAAAGAACGACACCATCATATGGTGGAGAAGATTCTCAGTCGTCCAGGTCAGAGACATTCCAAAAAAGTTAGAAAACAAACCACTGGACTTTGTTTCCAAGTTTGAAGACATTTCTCTTCCATCCAGGAAGCGTTTTCAATTC